TGGCATGTAGTATCCCAAAGCCACATGTTCTCAAATCTAAATCTCCTTCTTGGGCCATGTCTTATGTTCATCTTGCCTTCTAAGTTAAGCCATAAAGGAGTATGTGATGCACCAAACACACACTACTTTTAGGCAAGTGAACCTAATCGATTATGCAGTATAAGATGAGTAAGATATCGTTCCCTCGAGGACTATCCTACACTACCAAGACACTATTAATCTAACCTAAGTTGAATTAACCAATTAATGAGGAAAACTAAGTGAACTAAGGAAATTAAACTAAAGAATTTTCTAAATTTAAGAAACTAGGGTTTGGATTTCATTTAATTCTGAATTATGCAACTATTTCACTAATTTAATTCAAGTTCAAATAACAGTGTTATCGCATGAGATGGCAGATTTCCCTAAATTAATTAACCAGCTTTCTCAAGTCAAGTTAATCCTTCATTTGTTTGCTAAATTAATCATATCTCTATGTAATTTTAAACAAACTAATGAGCATTAAATTCTATGGAAACCTCTAGTTTAAGAAGGGGGAGCTACTAACTCTCTTCTCTTCCTCCACTATGACATGTGAGCTAATTACCTCTTGGTCTCATAGTCTAACACACAGTTTATATTATTATTAGTCTAATTTACACAATTCTTTCTTAAGTTCATGTATAAATCACTAAATCAATTGAAAGGTGATCAGGCTCTCAATGCATTAAACTCAATAATATAAACTCATCATGAAAATAACCAATAAATCTTGAATTAAACTAACAAAAACAGTCACATATTCCAAAAATTAAAATCCATCCATCCCTAGTTCAAAGAATTCTAGCCACACATGTATATGTTTTCAACCGCCATGAAAAATAAATCCCAGCAGAAAATCATAATAAAAAAATTTAGAAACAACAAAACCCAAACTATGAAGAATTGCAATTTGCCGAATGGTGTGCTGTGGTCAGGATCTCCCAAGAAGGCTGGGCGGCAGCGTGGCTCTTCTGCAAACTGATTTGGGTCTTGCGTTCTCAATTTGCAGAGCAGATTTGTGCGGTTGTCCTTCTCCTTCTGTGCAGAACAGGTTTTCGGGCGGCTTCTCCTCCAATGTGCAAAACAGTTTCATGCAACTCTGTGTCTCCCTTCTTTTCTGCCGACTAGCATATATATATTAGGAAATTGGAAACCCTTATTTCTTTTAACCCTATCAGACATGGATTATGGCTTTATTTTGGGTTTGGACTGCAGTTGGCCCACACCTAGAAAACACAGCCCAATTCTCTTTATCTCTGCACTCTGTCCATTGTCAAAACCGTCACTTTCAACCAAAAATCTGTATTGATACAGCTAGAACTGGGTTAAGCTCATAAAACATCAATTGTAGCTTTGCCTCTTAGCTTTCCAAGCCTAAAGAATCATCTCAATCCAATACCTAGAGAAAAAGATATGGTTAAATTACTACAGCATGTGCAAATGGTCACTTATTACAAAATTAATTCCTATCTTAATTTCCACCCACAAATAATGAATTTAATATAAAAAAAGGTGAAACTAAGTTACAAAAAACCCATAAAATTTAATTCTAGGCTCAAAAAGGGTAGATAAATGCATATAAAAATTAAACTCATCAGTATGATTGGAAGATAAAGGGGGTAGTAGTTCAACCTTTGCAAGTGGGAAAAGATTCCTCCATGATATGGTACCCAAGCAATGATCTAGCTTTTCTTCAGTCCGACCACGCCTCCAAGTAAACCAACCCCTCACCATTTGTATTTCTGTTAAATTGCAATCATTAATGACTTCCTGAAAACCTCGCAACATCCAATCTGGCTGAGGGCCACCTCCTACCTTCTCATCAAGGCTTAAGATGTCATTGAAATCACCACCAATCAGCCATGGAAATGAGGATTTACCTGCTAGTTCTCGTATTAGCACCCAAGACTTCCTTCTGTTATGCCTCTCCGGATAGCCGTAAAAACCAGTAAAACGCCATTTGGTACCACCAACCGCTTGAACCTCCATGTCAATATGGTTTGTGGAATAAGATTTCAGGTGGAGCTGCACATCTTTACCCCACATCATTGCCAAACCTCCACTACGTCCAACTCTTTCAACAGTAAAACAGTTTTGAAAGCCCAGTCTTCTCCGCACCCGTTCCATACTCCTCTTGTCCAATAGTGTCTCACACAAGAACACTACCATGGCTTTCTTCTACCCCACCAATTCGATGAGACTTCTAACTGCTCGAGGGTTCCCAAGCCCCCGACAGTTCCAACATAGTAAACTCATGGTGCCCGGCAGGCCTGCATAGTAGGACTTGCCGTTGTAGCTGCTGCACTTCCATTTTCTCCCACACTCTTGCTTCGTTTCTCAACGTTTGGCACTTCAACTACCAGGGACTCTAAAGGCTCATCCTTCCTTTTGGCTCAGGATGTTTGAGTCTGTGTTATCTTACTTGTCGTTCGTCGATGTCTTGCCTCCTTCTTCCAAGCTCTAGTTTTCATAGAAGTACCTTCCGCATCTGGCTTTGAGGTAAAAGTAAAGACTGGGCTCAATTCCTTACCTTGATCATTTTGGGCTGGATTTTGTAACATATGGGTTTGTCTAGCATCATCTAGTTGTGGGCCATTAGCATCCGGTTGGGAACTTGAAATTTTTTGTATGTTTTCCCACTCAAGAGCTTTCTCCATCAGCTTCCCCATGTCCCCATTAGTCTTTCCGCTCCTTGTGTTATCATTTACTTCCTTACGTACATCGCCTCCCGTCGATAAAGGTATCAATCTCGGGCTAATATTGTGGATCACATCCTCTACATTAAAGTCCAATGAATGCAATCCATAACATTCTCTTCCGTGATTTGCTCCCATATGCGCTCCTTCAGCCCACCGATCACGGCTGTTTCCCCCTTTGTGAGATTCTTGAGTATCCCATGCACGTGGACTTTCCATGTTTGGCCTTGCTCGTCGCCATCGCGCCTCCTCCACCACATAGTTACCGGAGCCATCTCTAAGCCACTTTCCGGTGCTAGTAGACTTAGCTAGTTGTGCCCGTTGAGATACTGCTCGGAGTGTGTCGTTATATGGTCGATTCATTGTGCCCACGATGTCCATCTCTAGTCCCAACTCACAGTCTCGGTCTACATGATCTAACTTGCCACAACAATAACAGAAATTCTGGAGGCGTTCGTAACGAAAAGATACCCAAATCGGTTCGTCCTTTAGTGAGAGTTTCATCCCCCTTCGAAGCGGCTTCTTGGTGTCAATGTCCACCCTCACTCGGATAAACTCAGAGCCCCATGCATCCCCATCTCCTGCATCAACATCAATAAGTCGGCCTATCCCAACGCCGATTCGTCACCCTGTTTCTGCTGTTAAGCGATCCGGTGGTAAACCATGAATTTGAATCCAGAATGGGACTTCAAACATGTCCTCCTTTTTTATCTGTCGACCTCCGTGTGCCTCCTTCAAGATCATGGTATGGTTGACAAAATGCCAAGGGCCTTTTGCCAACACCCGTTGCATATCGACTGGATGAAAGAAATAGAAGGCAAAGAGATTTTCACCCAAGATCCGCATATGCATACCTTTTATAGGCCACCATACACTGGCTAGCGTATTCTCCAATGCTTCCAGATTGTATCGCCTCCTTATCAAGAGTGTGCCAACCAGACACCACTTTGCCGCCCCCATCGACTGATTGTTCTGCTCGTCAGCATCGAGATCTAGCCCAACATCTTCCTCAGCCGTTAGTGATAGCTTGCCTCCGAGAGCTACTGTGAGATCTCTAATGCTTGGTTCAGCCATCGATGCCGAGATTTACTTTGGTCGTCGACGAGAGTTTTGAGTGAAAATTGAAGGAACAAGGGTTATTTGACTCCCAATACTAGGAGAAGAAAAAACACTCTCAGACCTAGAGAGAAAAAAGTGACATTAGCATATAGTTTCAATTTTACAAATACGCATTAATGTCATTATATAATGCGTATTAATCCCAAATTCCAAAACAAATTGGAATCCTAACCTACATTTGGAAACTAAAATCTCAATTTAAAATTTAAAATCCATCATATGAAATGTTGATATATATATATATATATAGGAAAGTGTGCATCAGTCTTGATTCCTAATAAAAATTGAAGTCTCAAACTCTAATGGTGTTATTTTAGTTAATCCCCAACCCCTACTATTTTTCAGCCCTTTTGTATTTCAATCAATCATCTCCATCTCCATCGCCTCCTCACCTCCTCGTCTCCTTGCCTCCTCGCCTCCTTGCCTCCTCGCCTCCTCCAATTTCTTGAATTTTTCAAACATAATCCCACACCGTTGACTTAATCCCTAGCACCTACTATTTTCACCCCATTCTATAGTTGTAATTCATCCCCTCCACTGTTGGTAAAAGAGATCAATAGATTGTAAGTGCTTTATTTTCTTACTAAGCTCTATCTACCCAAAAAAGTCAAAAAAATCTCTATCTTTTCTGTTGGGTAGACAGGAAAAAATCTCTTATATATATA